ATGACCGATGTGGAGCTTTTGAAGAGCGCGTGGCGGCAACAGAAGGCCGCTCCGGAGATTCTTCAGTTCGAGAGTCGTTTGATTAAGAGAGTAAGAGAGCAGATCCAACTGATGGTAAATTCCCTGAAACTCAAAAACAGGGAGGAAAATAAAAACCCTAATTCCCTTGTTTGGTTCCTCAGAAATTGATAGGAAAATGAAAGTAAAATTCAATTTCACGGTGGAAATATCTAATCTAACCTCCTGCTTATGTTGTATTGTATATGTGCCATAAAACAATCAGATTTTAGTTGAAATGATTGAGTACCTGAGAAGAATTACTAGTGCTTTTTTCTTCTTTTTTTTTTTATTTTTTTTTTATTTTTTATAATTCTGAAATTTGAAATGTTTAGTTTAGGATCTCAATTAGGTTGGAAAGGGTGCTAGATGTTATTATTGGTTGGCAAACAAGCTTGTGCAAGTAGATGAATGCTTGTGCTAGTATTATTTGCGGTTGTGTTATTGCTCACTCCAATTAGATGCATATAATTACAGGAAGAAACCGTGGAGGAATTTACTGAAAGTGGTTTTGATCCACTTACTGTGTCACTCTACCAGATGGATTTGGACAGGACTCAGTTCTTGTTGAGATCTTATCTACGAATTCGTCTGCAGAAGGTGGCCATCTTCTCTCCTTGTTTTGTTAATGTGTGCATGCTTTTTTTTTTTCATTGCATTTGAAATCAACTGTTTGGTTCTTTGATTATATTTTGGTATTAGAGAAACAGGAGCATTCACCATGTTTGATGATAATAAGTCCAATAGTGAATTCTAAGTTGCTTGCTATGAGTATTAGGAAATTGCCTGAAAATCTTCCACTGGTTTTAGATGTTAAATGCAACAAGGTTTCTCAAGAACATGTTGGTTGAACTTTGCTGTTTGTATTTCAAGTAACTTCCTTTTGCAGATTGAGAAATACATGTTTCACATCTTTGCTACCGCTGAACTTCTAACACGTCTATCTAAAGAGGAGAAGTGGTTTATTGAAAGGTGAGGACTCTGGCTGTTTTTTCGTTTGTGTTCTTTTAGTTACAGCACATACTTTAGGTTTATTGTGGTTTAGAGTTGACATGGTTATTGCTTACAGGTGCTGTGTTGATTTGCAGACGCATCTTGAAAAGAGCGTCCTGTCGCAGTTGCCTTATACTTATCAGTCTATATTTCAGCAATCTGTAATTAATGATGAGACTGACATGGGTATGGACTCACATTATTTTAATTAGTCACATTATCTTTTTTCAGATTTTGGTGATGCATCTCTGCTTTTTTCCCTTGTATGTGAATGTGTTATGGGAACAGTTGTATCATTTTCTGCAAACTATTTATCCTTGACTCAAAATCAATTCAAAATAAGGTGCTCAGTGCTGTGGTTAGTGTGGTGACCTTTTGTACAATTCACCTGAGAGGTTTAGATTTTCTGATCTAGTTTGGCAGATTCATATAGCTTGCAGTGGAACTATTTTAAAGTTTGATGTGATTAGTGTTTGGAATTGTGCTAATAGAAACTTGTAAAAAGTGATACTGTGCATTTGCATGCTGTGAGGGAACCAGTGACAAGCTAGTGTATGGGGCTGAGAATTTGTTCCAAATTCTTCTGAACCATTTGCCCTCCAAACCCTAAACCCTTTTTACCAGAAAACAATGCAATAGTTTGTTTGACAACTTGAAATGCTTAGCCTTCCCATATAGTCTTGGTCTGTCTCTTCTTGGATGAGTTCTTAATGCTCTTGGTGTCTTGATCTAACTCCATAGAATTCTCTTCACACTTCATATTGCTTCTTCTACAATGATTTTTGTGTACTATTTCTTCTAGACAGATGTTTTTCATTATGCATATGGTAGGCAATTTGTAGATTGGACATGTGAACTCAAATAGTGTTCTGTATATGTTTGACTTCCAGTGGCAAAACCGCAATTGGACACATTTGTTGTCTGCAAAACCAAGTATTATCTTGGACATATTCAGCTTGAGGACAATGCAGATGGAGAACCAGATGGCAGGTAACTTATTATTCATAAACATTTACTTTCATAGAAAATGTTGTTTGTTTTCTTTTTTGCTTACTGGTTTCATTTCACCATATGACAGTGGGAGCCAGAAACCATTGGAGGAGCCTTTTGAGATGGAGCCCAATGTTTTATACTTTGTACGTTATAAAGCAGTGAAGAAGTTTGTAGAGGAAGGGAAGATTGATTTATACTGAGTATCCAGCATCTTGGGGTAAATAGCTTTGAGACCTCCTCTATCTCAAAATATGATGTCATTGTATCTCCCCACCTTTTGCCTTACCGGTTTATTGAGAAACTATTAACATGGCAAGTAATGGGAGTGAGTTTCCGAGCAACATTGAATTGAATGGTTTTCTATCTACGTTTCTTTTAGGTGGTTGGTCTTTTACCACTTTGTTCCCCATAGTTTCAACTGTCAATTTTATCCCTATAGTTTTTCAATTTTGTAAATTTTATCCGCATAGTTTTCAATTCGAAGCAATTCAAGGACATGTTTTAGTTTCTATCAAAATTTCTCCAAATTCCATTAAGTTTTGACCACGTGCTCTTCATGTGTAGGGGTATTTTGGTCCACTTGAGCCAAATCTCTCCTAGTTCAATCAAATTTTAACCCAGTGACGCAAAAAATTTTGAAACCCAAAATCGCTCTTAAAATGAATCAGAAGAGCTTCATCTTGTGTTTTACAGTTAGATGGGCTTGAGTGAATTGAAATACCCCTCCACCTCTACATGAGGGGCACGCGGTCAAAACTTAATGGAATTTGGAGGAACTATATAGACTAAAGTAGTAAAATTGGCAAACTACAGGGATTAAAAGTGAACTTTTGCCTTTTTTTAAATATTAAATACAAGTGATAGTCCAAATTATAAGGGGAGTTTCTCACTATCAAGCAGTGGCGGATGCAGAGGGACAAATGGGGTCAGGTGACCTCATGGAAAAATGGTGTAGAAGGTCTCAGGCAACCCCAAGGTGCACACCACTTGTTCGATGAAATGTGTAGAAGAGCCTGCGAGTTGCTACCTTGCGCATTGCGAGTGAGGCCAAATTTTGTTTAAAAAGCGCATGGCCAAAACGACTGCGTTTTGAGCCATGTTAAAAAAACAGTATAACTAAAGATGTTGCATTTTGCATTCATTGTTATCTCTTTAAAATTAATTTTGATCAAGTGGGTGGTGACGTCTTCACTGGAGTAAGCTTCAATAATTGGAAGAAATGAAGAGAAAGGTTTAACATTCATGTTGGACCGGTTATTAGTATTTACAACCAAGCTTACAATTTGATGAATCAAAAAGCACACATTGAAACAATTGTGATCAAGCAAATAGATGAAGTTCGTACGGCTTATTGCACTTGCTTGAATGCATCACTCAAGTGCACAAAGTATTTATTTTTATTGATAACGAAGCTATAATGCAGCATTTTCGAAAGATGAAAACTCGTAGTGGACAATTGTTACTTCTATTATTAGTTTTGTTATGAATTATGAATGGAATTTATAATATAACTCTATGAGGTCACAATCCTGTGCTAACAGGTGCCATCAAGTGCTACTTTTAGAAGAAAAGAACAAATATGCTAATATGCTGATATGGTTACTGTACTGTAGTATATGCTTAATATGTCAGGATGTCTTTAGAAGAAAATATCGCACATTCTGATAAAAGGAAATCGAAAAGATTCCCTGCATGTGATATGCGTCTATGGAGCCAAGTGCTAACAAACAAAACAACACACATATTAAAACAAACCCGACGGAAACGAAACAGAACCCATACGAATTTTGCTTTGGCATCACTCACTAGATTCAAATTCAAACAAAACCATAATTTTGTTTCCCACCACCTCGGATTGCCTGGCAAATATCAAATAAGATTATTCTACCCTAGCTAGCTGGAGCGTTTTGCACCATGTAAATAATTAAATGGGTTAATGACCTAAATGTTTCCTCAATTATTGCCCCAGTATCATTTTGGTCCACCAACTAAAATTTCCAATTCAAACGTCCTTAAACTTTTTATTTTGTACCAAGATGGTCTATCCGTCAAAGTCTGTGTATTATTCCGTGAAATCGAGGGACAAAACCGTATTTTTAGGTGAGTATCCTCCTCTAAAAGGGTTATTAATCCTAATGGTCCCCCAACTATTGCACTAGTATCATTTTGGTCCACCAACTAAAATTTTCATTTGAACCGTCCTTCAATTCTTTTTTTTTGTATCAAGATGGTCCTATTGTTAAAGTCTGTCAATTTTATTGTTAAATTGAGGGGTAAAAATGTCTCTGTGAATTAAAATAGTAATATATAATTAAAAATTAAAGGAAACTAATATAAAACTTAAAAAAATTGAATCTCACCAGCCACATGGCTTTTTTTTTCGTGAGACTGAAAAAATTGAATCCCCCCAGCCACATGGTTTTTTTTTTTCCGTGAGACTAAACTAACAACTAATAATAAAAAATTCTCTATTGTATAAATTAATTAAAATCACATAAATATAAAAATAAAATAACAATTTTTTTTAAAAGAGTAAACAATAATTAAAAATTAAAGGAAACTATTATAGGAACTTGTACCTAATTTTAAAATTGAAAAAATTGAATCTCACCACCAACATGGCTTTTTTTTGCTGACATGGACTTAAAAAGTAATAATTTTTTTCTCTATAGTTTAAATTAATTAAAATTTTTAAAATAAGATAAATACAAAAATAAATAACAATAAAATTGATGGACTTTAACGATAGGACCATCTTGATACAAAAAAAAAAGAGTTGAAGAACGGTTCAAATGAAAATTTTAGTTGGTGGACCAAAATGATACTAGAGCAATAGTTGAGGGACCGGAGGTATTTTGGTTTTGAACGATAGAGCTTCTCAAAAAGTCGCATATATCCTTCAAAACTCAGTCATGTAATCAGAAATAACGGAATCTGTAACGGATGGACCATCTTGGTACAAAATAAAAAGTTTAAGGACATTTGAATTGAAAATTTTAGTTGATGGACCAAAATGATAATGGGGCAATAGTTTGGGAACCATTTAGATCATTAACCCTAATTAAATACATTTATTATTGTTACATAAAACAAGAATTAAGACCCTGGCAACTGGCCAACGACTAAATGAGAGGACAAAGGCTCTAGGCTCTCTCTAGCTAGCCGACATGATCAACGGCCAAGATCTTGAGCAAGCCAGCATAAGACACACCTTGGTTGTCATCGCCGCCGCCCAATATAATCATGGCCTTGATGTCTTCGTCAGTGGCGGCGAAGCCAGCCGCGCTCATGTAGCTCTTCAAATCCTCATGGCTTAGCTTGCCATCCCCGTCCTTGTCCATAATCTTAAACACGTCCTCCATCACTCCCCACGAGCTTCTTGCACCGCCGCCGCCGCCGCCCAAAACGCGCTCGAACTCGTCGTATTGGACGAAGCCGTCCTTGTTGGAATCGGCCGCCGACATCATCGATCCGATGAGGTTTTCGTCGGCGCCGGAGCTGGAAAATCCGGCGTAGAAGGCTCGGAGATCGTCTTTGCTTATCTTGCCGTCGCGGTCGGAGTCAAGGACGTCGAAGGCTGGCCGGAAATCTGAGGTCATGGTCGTCGTGGTGGCGGTCTCTGCGCAGAGGGTGCGGCCAGAGGGACACATTGTGATGCTAATTGCTGCGTTTGTTTGGTGTATAGAGACGAAGAAACGAGTCGTAGGCTGGCTCTTAGGGAGGAAAATTGTTGATTGAGTTGCGGAAGAGAGGCCGTGTGGTATTTATAGATGGAAGGGAGGTGGGGGCCCAGCCCACAATGGCATTGGCTTGGTTCACAAGGTTTTGATTGAGAGGCTACGTATGGAGTGACGTAGTTGAGAGTTTTGGGGTGGTGGGGGGTGGGGGGAGGATTTTGTTTTGATGAAAAGGGGTAGCAAATAAATAGTGTTAGTTTTTCTCGTGCGGGGAGACGGAGAGTGAGACTGACTGGTAGGTTAGTCATTTATTGGACTTTGACAGAGTCCATGGCCAAAAGGTATGCAGAACCAGCCAACTCCATAAGCGTGGTTCAGCATCAATTCTATTCCATGACAACTTTCTTTTTCTTTACCAATTCAAAATTGTCTGTGCTGAGTTATTTTGAGGTGGGAGCAGCGTGTGTGGGTTGGTCCCATCTAGACCTCCAATGGTACACGACATCACTAATCAAGTATCAAGATTTGAATTAGGTGGATTTCAAACCAAAATTCATACATAAAACCCCAAATGCTAAAATTCATATCTAAAACCCCAAAATGATAAAAATCCAAACCTGAAATCGTAAAGTTCCAAAACCCATAATTTACATCTCAAACCCCAAATACAAAATAAATGAAATTTTGAATGCCGTAGCATTTAGACCACAAGTTGGCATTTCGATACCAAATGCAAATATCTTTTATGCATTCCAACGGTATCTAATTCTCTCCACTCCGCTTTCACTTTAGGCAAATGCTCATCGTATAATTTATATTGTTACTTGGACTTGATGCTACATGTCCAGATGCCAATCAAGTAATGGAAGCATGCTGGTTCGGGAAAGAGAGTGTCTTTTTGAATTTCTGTAACTATGAGTTACCCTTATGACTATGGTCAAGGGTTTCATAGCAGTTTTGCCTTTGTAGTTGGCAGTTTGAAACTGAGCAAAAAGAGCCTACTGACTATGGGACAAGAAACACTTTCACGAAAACAAGGATATTCCTGTTTTGCTATTCCCGACTAATGCTGCTAATATACGTAATAACTTTTTCACATGATATAGCATTATTAATCGAGATTAGCAAAAAATAGTGTTATTCCCCGTTGCAACTAAATTTGTCTACTATGGGACAAATAATGGCTTGGCCCCTTAAGTGAGATGCCTATGCAGAACGATATTTGGGTTTTCTTCTCCCTTTTTATCTTTGGGCCCATGAGGCCAGGAAAGTTTTGGGTTTGCGATTCATCCATTTGGGTTGTTCATGTTGGATGCAAACGAGCCGAAATAATGGCAAATTCGTAATATCATTGACATGGATGGGCTTCTACCTCAAATATTTCATGGGCGAAAACCCTAAATCTAAATTCCAGTATTTAAACACAACCACGCCTAACAAACACCAGTAGCCTTAGGTCGCAACCTCCTTACATCTTCCCCATCCCGGCTTCTTCTCTGTGTCATCTTCTCTTTTTCTTCATTTCAAAGAAGGAGAAATATCTGTGGTGATTGGTATGGTGCCTCTTGATGAAGCCTTGGGTCTTAATTAATTTGGAGCCAGGGTTTTATATTCTTATAAAGAATAGGAGGTAAATTTCGTGCAGGAATGTTGAGTCACTTCGCCTTTGAGCAATTACCAGGCTCAGTGAATAACACCCTGCCACATCCTCCTCTATTTCTATTGAATTTTCCCATTTCAATTTTATTTTTGCACGAGTTTGAATTTCTTTGTTGTTTTTGCAATTGATATTTTCAGTTTGATTGTAAAATATTCACTGCATAGGGGTTCCGATGATGGCATGAAATCTTTGAGACCTGATCATCCAATTGATGATAACTATAAGCATGGTTTCTGAGGACCCCTTATTAATGTTATTAAGAAATTCAAACTTTCTCCATAAAAAACTCGGATGGGCATTTCGTATTTTGCTTTGAAAAATGTGTTGGATTTTGGACTGATGATATGCAAGTATAGATGATGAAGTATGCACTGGGCTCTGAGCAGCTCTATGAGCTTCTTTTTGATGGACATTGCAGCCTAGAAAGCTAATCTGATATACTCTCTGTCTTGTTCAAATTTCATTTACCCTTTTCCGTACTTGAGCTAGCTAACCCAAGCCAACCCAATTTTATAAAAACTAATTATGATTTATATGCTTCATTGACAAACCCAGAGGTAGGCAGTAAATTGGGAATATGTGGAACTCATACGGTTTAAAATGTTTTGGAGACGGCTGCAGATAAATTAATACAAATTTATAAATAAACCCAATCCTAGACATGTATTTATAAAAAAACCTAAATATTATTTAAACATAGAAATACACCCAAAATCAACAATTATATATTTTTTGAGTGTGTTTATAAATGGGTTTTGAGTGTGTGTAATGATGGGTTTTGGGTGTGTTTATAAAGTATTTTGGGTGTTGGGTTTTTTTATAATTTCAGCCCCTATTTTGGGTGTTTTAGTGAAACTCCCATTAACAACATGTTCCCTTTAGAACACTAAAATAAATGAAATGAAAGAAACAACTTTGATCCGGTAGGGATGTATCAGAATGAGAAATAGCAGAATGATTACATACCGCAAGCAAATATGCAGCGTTGACGTCTTCAAGTTCCATTTGAAGTTATGGTTGTTTGTCATCTGGGGGATCCTAAATTATCAAGTCGACAGAAATTCTTTTGGAAATTTAGAGCCCAAAATTCTGCACTTTGAAGATTTTGAATGAATTACACAGATTAGGATAACAAACAGAGGAAAAAAAAATGAAAACTAAAGATAAATATTTAAGGAAAAAAAAAAATACTACTCTTACCCCATACCATCTTATTTGACAGCTGAATTTAAATGATTTAATAATTTTCTTTTCTTTTATGATTTATTCAAATATTTGTTTTTCTAATTTTCTTAATTAAAATATACTTCAATTGGCATATTATGACATGCGGTATAGAAATGTGGGATAAAAATATAGTAAGTGTAGCATTACTAAAAAAGAATGATGAAACTCGCTGTTATATTTTTGGGAGAAAAATCAATATTCTTAGTTCCAGACTTTAGTTCAATAGAATCAAGAAAGCTATCACAAGGAGTATATTTGTACCCAAAGATTAAAACTAGAAATCCTTGATGTGTATTTATACCCAAGTTTCAAAATGGTAAGTACAGATACAGTCCGGTCAGTCATAATTCCAAGGCTACAAGCTTCATGCTGTAATCTGTTCTAGTTAACTTAACTTGGCTAGAACAAGGCAGAGACACAGAGCGTGCTGCAAAATTTTCAAAGTTTCTCTGTCTAACATCTTGCTCCTACATTTCTTCAGTGTAATCTGTGCCTCGGGAATCAGGGTTGATGGGTATCCGTTTTGCCATAAAATATCTAAACTAGAGTCAGCGCACGGGAGATGAAAAGAAAATGACAACAAAATATACAACAAATCCGGCAATAAGAATCCCCCCATAGATATAAGTTTGAGATGCCTGCACAGGATATTTGTACTCAATGTCGCAGCATTTCATCTTTTCCTTCTCATTGGCCAGAACATGGTCTACGTACCTGCATCGTGCAAATGATTATTAGCAATTAAAATGAAAGAAACCCTGCTCCACTGATCTTCAGGTTCAACAATCACTGATAGCCTTTCACTGCATGGGAAATCACAATATGAAACAAAACTAAACACATACAATACGGCAACTTACTGCTGGGTAAATATGGAACTCTGGAGAATCTCTGAACTGTTCAAATGTGCATCTTGTAAGCGATGACCATATAACGATGAAGACAAATCTACAAGCTGTTCCTCAAGGTTCTGTTGTTTTGATTGTCTTACATGTGTTAACAATCTTCAAGATGTTTGAGAAACACAGGAATTTTAAAAGTAGGAATGACTTACATCCAAGTAGTTCTCCAATCTATCAACTAATTCGTGTGGGAACGGTTCAGGCAAGTTAGTTGTTTTTTTGTAAAACTTCTCCACCCATAGTTCAGTGGTTGTTTTGTTCCTCTTTCCCTTCACTGGTTCACCAAGCGGAGTTTTTAGATACTGTGCTGCAAAAGTTTGTACAGCCTGAAGAAAATAGTGGAAACCATATAAGCATAAAATCATACAACTAATTTCTAATAAATGGGCAAATGAAAGACCAAATTACCTCTGACGTCTCACGAATTCTGAGGAGAGCAGAATCTACACGTGCATATATTGTGTTCCTCTGCCAAAAAGATTAACAATTACTTTAGATAAGTCCTGCCAATATATGGCGCTGTGCCTGAGATGGAAAGGCATGCCTTCTCTGAGTTTCTGAAACATAACTGCGCACCAAGACATTTCAGCAAAACAGTTAAAAAAATCTTATGGAACAGGAGGGGGAGAAGCACATCAAAATCAACTCTAAATGAAAGCCACAGAAACATGAGTGGCATAGTCAATCAGAGACCATAATGTAAAACACAAAACTTGTATTTTGCAATGAAGGAACTGCTGTAGTTGGTTCTTAAGAAAAATGACATAGATCCTAGAAATGTAATAAAGTATACAATACTTCAGAGTTTAGACAATTTCACTGGTTGAACGATGTCCTAATTTTACCGGAAGTATAACTAAATGCTAGGAGGGCTTGACATTGCCCAAGTTAAAGGTGTTACAGAATATGACAAGATAGTTTCAAGTAGTAAGAAAAGCCACAATGTACTATGCTGAACCCTTCACAGACTTCAAAGTAAAACAGATTTGACTCAATAGTCTTCTTTGATGTTTACCCATCCACATAACATATGTCGTAACTAGGGAAAGTTAGCAACATAGCCTTGACTAACCAATACATTATAGCGATTGAAACAAAAACAGTACATGTTCAATGATGCTACAATGCTGGAAGCCTGGCAATAAATCACTGTTTCCTCACCTAAGAGGTATCTTTTCATTTTGATGCTCAAGTACAATCACTACATCTTTGCTTGTCCATACAAGACTTTCGTCTTCCATCATAAGGTGTGGATCCACATCAGCCAATGATAGCACAAAACTGTGGAAAAAAAAGATATCAAACAATTATTTACAGCAATCATTACAGATTAATTTGATGAGTGATGCATGCTATATGTTGCTAGCACTGTAGTAAAAAACAGGTAAGGACACCCAGAATTACCTCCAAACTTCTAGTTACCAGAGATAGGTGACAGTACATGTCATTAAAAATTGGAAGCAAGCCTTGAAAAGTTATATGCAACAGAAATCTGAATAATTAACTACAAAATTCAACGATCATATCTTCATGCCAAATTTCTGGGTAGCAGGCTATACATAAAAATGCGGAAATAGTTAAGCAAGACGGACTCAACAAAAGCATGTTACATGTAATTATATGAAAGATGAATGAAGACACCATTATGAGAATAGTACTAAAATTATACTGCAGGGGAACTCAAGGTGGGATGCTCACACAGGAATCACTCTTGTTCCATAAGTTCGGTAAAACTCTCCTTGTTTCCTTTGTATTTTTTTTTTTTTCTTTCCGTGCTTTGATTCATAAGCGGACCAAAGAGGTTTATGCTTTAGAATAGAATCACTTGAACCCTCGGATTCATCTGCCCAATGCTGGGGAACAAAAAGTACAAAAATTAGGACAATGAAGACAAGAAGGGAAGAAAAATCTACTTAGAGCTTAATAACAGAAGAAAAAAGTCTCAGAGAACAAAATCCAATGTGAACAACATGTGCAACTGTATCAGATTTGACCAACCTGGCGGAGGAAAAATTTACTTGAAAGATTTGGGTCAGCTACCTCAAGCAAACCAGCAGCAAGCACATCAGCAGAACGTTCCATCTCCTGGAATGAGCATTTCTCAGTGAGAAAAGAAAAATATAACGTACATATAATCTCACTAATTCAAATGCCATCTTGATGTTAAGAAGAGGAAGAAGCCTGAATTTTTAACTCAAAATATGATGACATCTAAATGTAAGGCCAAAAGTACAGAGAAATGCATGAAAGACATCCATGACACAATTTTTCACCAAGAACCTCGCAAATGGTACATAAAATAGAAATGAATAATTTGACACCAAAGACACCGGGTAACAAAGTTTGATGACATTAGGATAAATAAAGAAGTACATAAAGAAGTACCCACTTCTTTAAGAATAGCACCATCCAGATATGTCTTGGTATGAACATGGAAGCGCCCATCATTCTTAGTTTCTTGCAGGGAATGGCTTCTCATAGCTTTTGAAACAGCAATCGACAACTTCTCATGGCGATGTAACGAATGTGAACCTCCAACAATCACAACTTCTTGCCCAGCATGAACCATTTTCTTCACCTGAAAAGGACATATCAAACAAAAATGGAAGTGATTGTATTTCAAATCACAACTATGGAATTACTCATGGGAGAGGGTTGCTGCGACTGCATGATCCTAAAAGTGAAAGAGTTATTCTTTCTTTTATCTGGCACTCGTTAACATAGGCAATCATGAAGATGTTGAGTTATCCCAGAGGAAACAACCCACCTCTGCCTCAATTGCTTCAATATTTATACTGTAGTTGTGGCCTTTATCTATAATGTTGTAGCGATTATGATTTTGGAGGACAATTATTGGTAAAAGCAGCCTTGTTGTCAGGTCAACAGTTTCAAATCTGAGTTAAGACCATAAACACATGATTAACAACCACAAATAAAAAGTGCACAATTGTTATAAACAACACCATGCTTGGTGTCAAATCATCATGCCTTAAGATAGACTGAGTACCTAACATCTGGAGCTATAACATGCTCAACTGTGGTGGATACTAAAGAGGCAAGTTGTCCAACAAATACATCATGTGTAGGATGATCACTAGCTGCACCGAAACCTCTTGGAAACACCACATTCTTAAGTCGTGGCAATGTCCTGGAACTGACAGTTCCCTCTTCAGTTTCAATCTTTCCATATGTGCATGGGCCTGCTGAGAGATCAATCACAACAAATCTGAACAGCATAGGCAGGAAATTAGATTTTTAATTTCATTTTAAAAAGAAAAAAAATGCAGAGACAGATAAGAAGAGAGAGTAACATAACATAGTCCTAAAACACAGCATATAATCTATCAACCCGTTCAATGTGATACGGAACAAACGAATGTTTCTAACCACCAGTGTAAACCGCAAAGTATAATGCTATCTTTTATTCATGTGCTATCCCCAATGTAAAATTTTTATAAACACAAAATAACAACTCTCCCACAGATAACTACACCGCCTATACAGAGACAAAAATAACACACCAACCATAACTCATAACAACCTAAAAGACTTCGAGAAAATCCTTATAACAGGCTACCCAATACTTCACATGTTCAAGCACATCATTCCACATACTTGATGTATACTTGCACCATGTTTGCATGTTCATCAGTCCACATTACTCTATGTACTTTGAGGCTAAGCTTCCCCCTCTTTCTGGTCTAACAAAAGAGCACAATAGATAGTTGCATAACCAAATGTATTACTTACACCCTAAAGTAGTATGCAAGTGATTTGGTATACCAAAATCAGGCTTCTTCTACAAATAAAACTGTGCTAACTATACCTGCCAGAGCCAAGCCAAACTTGAGATGCACCTCCTCCATTGTATCGATAGCGATAAATGTAGTCTCCCTCTTGTTTTTTCATATCTTCCTCAGTGAGCTGTGTAAGTTTGCCATACATTAAGCTGTCAAGATCAATGTCCTTATTCCTCGGATCCATCCTGACCTGCAAAACAAGTGAACACACAGAAATAATAAGTACAGTTGAGTGTGACTATTAACAAATGGTTTGAGAAATACTTCATAAGCATATTCCCTTCTTTCTTCTTTTGCGGTAACAATACGCATATTCCCTTCACATGTGCAAAATCATATGGTAAAGTAGCACGTAAATTGAAGGATTAATGGGGAAGACAAAGAGAGACCATCAACTATGATGATTGCAGACCATACCTTATCAAAATTGACTATAAATATTGCACTTGGAACTTGCCGATCCATATCATTAGCAGCGGAATAAGCAGCATTCTCTGTGTCAAATATGTAGGAATATAACCTCTGAAATACAGGCTCCACTACAGTTGCATCCACTTCAAACAGAGGTACTTCCCTTCCAAAATCAGCCTAAATATTGAACAACAATTTAAAACTTATTCTCCAAAAGACAAAATAATACTCATAACTTTCTCCAGAAGACAAGGTACAACAGGCAAACAATGGGAGTCACCTCTCTTGCATTTCCTGCAGGAACCATAGCCTCTTTCAGTGCCTTCTCCAGAGCTATTAGTTCTGGCTGCCCGGCCTGTAATTAGAACAAATACAAGATCCAATCACTGGATGAAATATATAGTTAATGTACATATCATATCATATGCATCCATATATCTAATATTATGTGAATAATATCCAAACGAGAATGCTACAGTCGGATATGAAGCTTACAGGAAAGGCATTATAGACAATTTGATGCTCGATATCGAGAGGCTGTCCTGTCTCCAGGCAGGAAGGCCTATGCAATGGGAAGCTGATTTTCAGAAACTCTTCCAATTTGTGCGCATCGACCGAGTACCTATAGCCTCCATCAGCACTGAAACCAATAAGCACCACATTCACTTCGAGCGGAACCTGGAACGGAACCTACATACACACACAGGAGAATCACTCACAGTCACAGTCATGAGGAAACTAAACTAACACGCAAACATGTTGAATTTCTCAAAAATTAAAACCTAATTTCCTAATTTCAAAATTGTGTGATTTTCCTATTTGTTTTCCAATTGCTGTTGAGAAAGAAATAGATAAAATCACCTCAGCGCGAGAATGGAGCATGCGGCGAACATCGGATCGAACGCCATCTCGGACGTCGTGGAAGGCACTGTGGTGCCACTGAGGGTGACCTGGATCTCTCCGGAAAGCCTGAGGCGCCGACTCGGATTGAAACACAAACAGGCTCAGTGCGAAAACAAAGGCATGTATCATTGGCGTTGATTTTGGATTTGATTTGGCAACCATAGCTGCGGTATCTCAGTCGAAAAATTAGCTAAACCAGAAGGGCAATTGAAATGTAGGCGAGGAGTACGAGAAATTACAGATACTAATGGTTGAAGTTGGACTTTGGCATGGCTGGGTCAGCTGGGCGAGACTCAGAACGAGACTCTCAGACTGAGGAGATGAGCAAGAGAAGAAAATGCTAAATTGTTATTTTCAAATTTGCCCCTACATTTGCGCTTTAATACAATTATGGACTCGCGAATTGGGTTGGCGGGTTTTAACGAGTTTAGCAATCCTTGCCTGCAACAATGCAATACGCCCGAATGCAATGAGGGCTCTCTTTAGCCCACTAATTTTAAGGACCAAATAATGCGGTTCTTTTGTGAGGCGGTAAATGGGAGAAGACGGATGTGCAATGTGCATTTTGAAATTTCAATCAGGAACAAATGCTCTCATGCTAGGCCTTAAATTTGGGTCAGGGCGAAGGAAGGCATCTATGTGTCATATTGGTAGAAGTATAGTCTAAAATATCGATAATATCGACGAAAAATCGAGGATATTATCATTTTTTCGAATCAAGGATATTTCGGAACGTATCCATACACATATCGTATAAATATCGATAATATTAGAAAATATCAATGTAAATAATTTCGCTCACACTTCAACAATATTTTGTCAAAATACGCTATAATATTGTGAAAATATCGATGTAATGGAAAAAAAAAAACACAAAGCACACACACAAAGGGGATTCAAATCCTTGTCATTTCACTCCTCCAACCCCTTAACCACCATGTTGCTTATGTTTTTGTGATAATATGCTAAAATATATATATTTATAGTGTTTTGTTTTGAACAATTACATGCAAAACTATCTTTTCACAATACACTTACTCTACACATAGAGATGATGAAGATAGTGAAAAATTTGAACCTAATAAGAACTCTGTGTGGTACTAAGTCACTCATATATCTTACCATGCAATGTATAAAGTGTAAAATATTTTAGTAAATCACTATATATATAAATGATTATGGTGTGTTTAATCTTCTTTCATTAATTACTACATATTTTCTACTCACAGTGTTTGTCAGTTCACTATATAATTAACTTAATCAGTTAACCCATCATGCAATGCATTTCCCTCCAATTTTTTGTGATAAACTAATAGATAATTGACTGAATAAACATCCTCCAAAGTTTCAATAAAAATTTCCAAGTTTTTCTTATAATTTCCATGGTTTTTATTCAATTTTTATCGATATCAATAATATCCTGATATTTCTATCGAAATTTCCATATTTTTGAACAACTGATATTTCCGATACCATCAATATTTTAGACCTTGGATAGAAGGGAGAATCAAACACAGAACCTCGGGTGCCGGGCTGTTGCTCAGTCTTGAACTGAAGCAAAGATTGAAAATGATATGAAACAGTGTGCTTATAAATTACTAATTCTTGCAAAAATCTTGTTGAAGATTAAGTTTTTTTTTAGGGATCTATGATTTTGAATCTCCAGATACAAATTTCCAGAGAGGCTAGTTGGATAAATTAAACAAGGGGCAGCTGCACTTGGTGGTTTTAAAAATGATATAAATAAATAGAGCAATGCGGCTCTCACATTCTGTATTTGGGAGGCAACCAACTACAACAGGCATTATTAAAGTAATCTTCTAACATTTAAAACTTTCAAGCCTCTTCACTCGAGCATGATCGCAGGATCCGGGTGGTTTGTCAGCGCTCCTCTCTTTAGCCATGCATAATAAAAATTCTTTCCGAGTGCTGTACTATCTTTGAAGCACGGACCAAAATCGGGGGTGGTGGATACACGTTTGGTTCCAGAAAAGTATCAGTGGTCAACAGCACTTCTTATTGAGACTGGAGGTTCTTCCACTGTGCCTCTGGATATTGAGTCATGGTTTAAGAATAAAACAATGACAGTTATATCGTCATGAAAATGGCGTCGGACTTTCTTGTCAATTTTCCGAAGATCTGAATATCTCATTTCTCTTTTTCTTGCAGCTTCTTGGAGAGCCGTCTTTACAAGCCTTTTGGCACTTCCCTATATTAAGAGAAATAGTCAGAACTAGAGATCAAGAATGGAATAATAATCACGTTAAAACAGAAATATGAATAAAGCATCATATACCAGCAAATGTTTGAAACTTTATGTCCATGTCATTGCATTGATTGTGGCTCAAAATAACTATGCTTATTTTTCTTTTTCCTTTTTTCCCTTAGTTGCAAATTAAAAAGACAAGTGTTTATACTTAAGTTCATATTTCCTAGGATGGATAGTCTTCAGAATATTGAAAGGTAGGAATGAAATTATGAAACAAATGTGCATGCAAATGCGAATTACTAAACACGAATAAAATGAAAGGCCAGAATCTTACTTTTTGAACAATTACATGCAAAACTATCTTTTCACAATACACTTACTCTACACATAGAGATGATGAAGATAGTGAAAAATTTGAACCTAATAAGAACTCTGTGTGGTACTAAGTCACTCATATATCTTACCATGCAATGTATAAAGTGTAAAATATTTTAGTAAATCACTATATATATAAATGATTATGGTGTGTTTAATCTTCTTTCATTAATTACTACATATTTTCTACTCACAGTGTTTGTCAGTTCACTATATAATTAACTTAATCAGTTAACCCATCATGCAATGCATTTCCCTCCAATTTTTTGTGATAAACTAATAGATAATTGACTGAATAAACATCCTCCAAAGTTTCAATAAAAATTTCCAAGTTTTTCTTATAATTTCCATGGTTTTTATTCAATTTTTATCGATATCAATAATATCCTGATATTTCTATCGAAATTTCCATATTTTTGAACAACTAATATTTCCGATACCATCAATATTTTAGACCTTGGATAGAAGGGAGAATCAAACACAGAACCTCGGGTGCCGGGCTGTTGCTCAGTCTTGAACTGAAGCAAAGATTGAAAATGATATGAAACAGTGTGCTTATAAATTACTAATTCTTGCAAAAATCTTGTTGAAGATTAAGTTTTTTTTTAGGGATCTATGATTTTGAATCTCCAGATACAAATTTCCAGAGAGGCTAGTTGGATAAATTAAACAAGGGGCAGCTGCACTTGGTGGTTTTAAAAATGATATAAATAAATAGAGCAATGCGGCTCTCACATTCTGTATTTGGGAGGCAACCAACTACAACAGGCATTATTAAAGTAATCTTCTAACATTTAAAACTTTCAAGCCTCTTCACTCGAGCATGATCGCAGGATCCGGGTGGTTTGTCAGCGCTCCTCTCTTTAGCCATGCATAATAAAAATTCTTTCCGAGTGCTGTACTATCTTTGAAGCACGGACCAAAATCGGGGGTGGTGGATACACGTTTGGTTCCAGAAAAGTATCAGTGGTCAACAGCACTTCTTATTGAGACTGGAGGTTCTTCCACTGTGCCTCTGGATATTGAGTCATGGTTTAAGAATAAAACAATGACAGTTATATCGTCATGAAAATGGCGTCGGACTTTCTTGTCAATTTTCCGAAGATCTGAATATCTCATTTCTCTTTTTCTTGCAGCTTCTTGGAGAGCCGTCTTTACAAGCCTTTTGGCACTTCCCTATATTAAGAGAAATAGTCAGAACTAGAGATCAAGAATGGAATAATAATCACGTTAAAACAGAAATATGAATAAAGCATCATATACCAGCAAATGTTTGAAACTTTATGTCCATGTCATTGCATTGATTGTGGCTCAAAATAACTATGCTTATTTTTCTTTTTCCTTTTTTCCCTTAGTTGCAAATTAAAAAGACAAGTGTTTATACTTAAGTTCATATTTCCTAGGATGGATAGTCTTCAGAATATTGAAAGGTAGGAATGAAATTATGAAACAAATGTGCATGCAAATGCGAATTACTAAACACGAATAAAATGAAAGGCCAGAATCTTACTGCATGTGGATGCTTGTGGACAATCTCAACAGCTTTTTCATTACTCAAGTGTTCCCATAGACCATCAGATGCAAATATAAGGAAAGAATCATTTGGATGGAGAGGATGAGAAAGAATAGTCGGATTGGCAGACATGATAGGCATGTGCATTGGTTCAGGAAGTCTGAATTTTGCATTAATTGGCTCCCTGTTAAACTGTGAATGTTTCATATATACGTCACCAATAGATTTCGAAACCTGCACTAAATACAATAAAAGAGTTATTCACAAAAAATCCCCATTTAGGAAAAAACTAAATTATGAAAATTTACTGAGAAGCATTTCAGAGCCCAAAAATCCTTTCCCCCAAAAAATAAAATGAGGGCATTATGTCAAGTTAACCCCAATACAGAGCTAAGCTAACAGATAAATCAGAAGCTGGATCCTATGGGCAGACCAGCAATGCTCGGACTAAACACTACTTGCTTTAAAAAAAATTGAGAGAATACCCAGGAGGCTAGGACTAGTGTCCTTGCACCATTGCCCTGCATGTTGGCTTCAAAATCAACAGGTACGAAAACAAAAACACCCATGACAGAACTTTAAGCAGTTATAAATTAATGCACACCTTAATCAATGAGCTCTTACATGAACAATAGTATTTGAAAATTACCTGGATAATCCCTTTTACTCTCCAAACTCCATGCTTTAAAACAACAATTTGAGGATCATGTGGGTGCAAATCTTTCAGTTCGTGCCTAACCTCCTCAAGATTTGCATTGTGTTCAGTGGATAACTGAATCGCAGCAACTTCCCCAGTGTTTCCCACTTTCTTCCCCAACACAACACGGGAATCTCCAAGGTTTGCCACAAATAGGGTCCGCTGACATATCACTCCAACCAGACAACATGACCCAACAGTTGCTACATTGGGTCTAGTACTCCACAACTCTGAAACAAGGGCAGTAAACCCTTCCTCTGTTCGGAGAAAAGCATTTCTAATGGTTTCTGCTGTCACAACCCCATCTGATTCTGCTGATATTGCTGCATAAACACAATGCCTAAGATAGCCAACATAAGAGCGGCTCATTCTTCAATAGTCAAACAAGAAACCCAACCCCAAAATCACCCACAAAAAAATAAAAAGCGGAAATGAAAACACTGCATTACAATGAGTGTCCCCAAAAAATATATTTATAAAGGGCTCAAAGTCTATTAAGCAAATTGTTGGTGGAAGTATAAATTCAATTCCCATAGGCATTGTATGCAAAGAGACTCCGTGATCCAAACTCAATAACCAATCAAAATCCC